AAACAAATTATAAATACACAAAAAATACAAATCACAAATAAAATGAAAGTCAGCAAAAAATCTTAGTTCTGCCCCTATTTTCCAAAAATAATTTAAAACAATAACGTTCAAGTAACAAAACAAAAGAAAAATATAAACTCCTTCAGGAACAACAGCTCTTATGAATACACATTATACAATGCCATACTTCTTTAACAAACTAACTTTTGTCATTCTCTTAAACAAATACACTGAACCAGCATTTTTATAGCCACTTTCCAGATTATTCCACAGTATTATTCTTTATACACCGGTTCTTCAAATTTGTTCAAATTTAATGTTTATAAACATCTTTAGTCCCTTAAGATTATAACTTTCCCTCTTAATAAATTTTGATTGAATGTTCAAGGTAATACGTTTTTATGAGCCTTATACAAAACCTGCAAAATATTACAACCAAATTGTAAAACTTTAATCATTTCAACTGATAAAATAATGTATTTGGTGGGTGACTGTATTTTATTTGGTGATAATTCTTACAGCTCTTTTCTGTAAATTAAAAATAGGATTTGTAGTTGTTTTACATGCATTCCCCCAGACTTCAACACAGTAGATCAAGTGTGGAACAAATATTGCATTATGTAGCATAAACCATGCTTTTTCATTAATAACTCCTTGACTTTATGYAGTACTGTATTTTTATTATGTTTATGATGATTGTGATGTTTGTCTATCAAGGTTTTTGGATTTCTCTCAGTTTGATCAATTCCCTGAGGCCAGTTTGCCATGGGAGACTCTTGAAGAGGCTAGTAGTACTCCAGATCACATAGCTCCCAGAATCAGTACACAAACCCCTTCACCACATTAAGATGACCATTCTGTGGGGGGAACTCGAAATGAGTTTTTGCTTTGGATAGAAGAGACCAAGTRTCTGGAAGTCTTGTATATAAATATGTTACGATGGATCGACACATAAGGGCCTCATGAGGTCAAGTTGTTGTCTCAGTTTGTTGTTGTAAAGAAAACTTGAGAACAACAGAGCTCCTTCAATTTTCCCAGTCACTTCTCAGTAAGAGATCATCTTAATTAAAAACTTTGGCATGTGAGGCAGTGGACAAAGTGCATCCATTCATAAATGCATTAAACTGCAGACTTCAGTGGCGGATATACACACAATTATGAATTTCAATTGAAAAATATGATTCACACAAATAATCTGTGTGAAAACTACTTAAAAAATAAAAAGTAAAACGTTTGCCTATCAGTCATGAAATTGTATATAAAAAAAGCAACCAACAGATCTATCATTAAACTTTTATTTAAAGCTTTGCACTCTTTAGATTTTGGTTACATTTTTAGTTTTATTTAATTGCAGTTTTTATCTGGAGCCACCAGGAGCAGGGGTAGTGGCAGGTGTTGTAGTTGAAGCTGTTGTTGAAGCTGTTGTTATGGTTGTTGAAGCTGTTGTTATGGTTGCTGAAGCTGTAGTTGTGGTTGTTGAAGCTGTAGTTGTGGGTGTAGTTGAAGCTGTTGTTGTAGCTGTAGTTGTGGTTGTTGTCGAAGCTGATGTTGTGGTTTGAGGAAATAGAACCTTGAGGAGGATGTGATAGAGCTGGATCTGTTGTCTTCTTGAAAGCAGACCCTTGAAACAGACAAACAGCAGTCAGACATACAGCAGAGAACTCTGTCAGGAATGTCTCAGTAATCAATGCTCATGAATAGTGAACACTAACCTCATTAGAGTTAGAATCTGAACTGGAGTCAGAGCGGGCAAATAGCTGGTGCTCCACCTGGAGAAAGTTAATTATTTTACATGCTGTGCTTTTGTACATTATTAATAACTTTACCTATTTTACAGTCACTGAAAATCACAGAGTATGATACTTACAGGTTGAGCCACAATGAGACTCATGAGRCATCCAAGAACAAGTGCTGTCAGCATGGTTTCAGTGATCTGATCACCTGATGGAACAAAAGAAGAAAGAAAATGAACAAATCAAGTAAAAGTATAAAACAAACAATATTCTTCTGTAATTATCATAGAAAAACATGTATTTTTAATTTAATTACCAATGAGTCTTCGTAGTTTCAGCAGACTGTCTCACAGATGGACAAAGGAGACTTTTGTAATGTTTATCTATGTTGAAAGGCTCCTTTATAGAAGCAAAGTGTTGAGAAACTGCACTCATTAAGCAATCTTCCACCTCCTTTAAAATATGACTAATTASAGATGAATCTTACACCAGGATTACATGGATGAGTGGAACTAATTCAGTAGCTGTAATAAAGAGCACTATGGTTAAATAATTTTGTCTRGCCATTTGTATCAATTCTTCTTCAGGTAAGAAAGTGCGTGACCACTTATAGAAAAAGTTCTGTGTATTTTCTGTATTAATAAACCTCTGTAACACAGAGACAAAAAAACAAGTCTAGTGAAATAAATACATTACTTTGTGGTTTAAGCAACACCAATTATTGATTGCATCTACGCAACCACTGTCTCTGCTGCTTAGTCTGCTTTTGTTTGATGTTTATTTCACCATGAAATGGAAAACTTTTGAAATCTGTCAACAAGCTCAGCCAAGATCAGGTCAGCAAAAACATTACAGCCATGCAAACCTTCTCAATAGATGTAGCTTAACAAAATTAGTTAAACAGAAACAAAAATAAATAATACATTCAAATCTATTGATGGCAAACTTGCTGTATTGTTGTTGCCTTCACTCCTTAATCATTAAATTGGCACTGTAAGTAGAATAAGATAAAAGTGTAATAAATCAGTCTAAGGATATTTCAAATCAACTAAATCGGTGTTTGAACAAATTGAATTTTTGACATGACTGTAGTTGATGATTGCAAGAAAAAAATCCACACATTTTCTTCTTTATTATTTATGTTCATTTTGAATGTAAACAGAGTTTTAGAGGTGTTTCTTATTTATCGATTTCTTATATTTCAGATTTTACTTTATTGTTAGGTAGTAGTTTTAGAAGTTGCTGTAATTTAGGATAAGAATATGAACATGTTCTTGCATGTGGCCCAATGTAGAAAGTGAACTTCAGGCCCCAGTTTCAAATCTCTGGAATACTTAACAGATTTTCCTCAGATGAATCTATCCAGTTGTGTGTTTTCTAAAGCAGTGGTTCCCAAAGTTGGGGTTTTAACCCACAGTGCACATCAACCCCTGAACATCAAGGAGAGGTCCTGAAATTAATTCTGTTAATTCTTTTTTTAATGACTACTTACATTTTTTTACTTTAGTTGTTCCAAAACAGTTATGTTAGAGTACTTTAAAAGAATAAAACTGGTGTAATGAAAAGTGTTATTTTGCGCTTGTTTGTTTGACCTGATACCAATCAAAAATAGGGGAATAGGTATCTCTTGTGGTCATTTTGTAGGTCAAAAGCTAAAATAGGACCTCTGTTATAAACAACAGAACAGGAAGAGAAAAAGATGCAAAAACATTGTCTTCTCATATGTTGCTGAAGTGATGAGAAACTTAAGAGGATTTTTTGCAGACTTTTTACATATTAAACAAAGAAAAAATAAAAATGTATCCTGACAGACCAGTTTTACCCTCTGCACCGATTTTTTTTAAATTAACTATTTAAACGTCTGAGCTCAGGAAAGACACAAAATTATTATAGAAAGTAAAAATTACCAGAGAAAACATTTACATTGAAAATTTTTATTCTGAGAGCTAATTGTTTATAAGATTATGTGAAGTGGCAGGTGTGATGACAGATGGAAACAATCTGGCATTCAGTGAGTTTAAGGAATTCATTGTTGGCTCATTTTAATAAATGCACAAACTGTACATGGACAATGTAAACAAATAGTAGGGCAATGATGAGAAGTGCCCGACGGACGTGACTGAAATGAGGCCTCAAAAGGAATTTTTGTGTAGAAGACCTTAGAGCTTTGAGCTGACGTTTTGCCACTCTTTTGCTTTTGTTGTAATATTGAGCCTTAATGGGTTGATTCAAACTCTTATTGGATGTGGCATTATGTCGTCATTAAAAGCTGATTTAAAGGCTGACTGTAAAGGTGCATTGCATTGTATTGAGTTTTGTTTTTGCTTCTCATGTAACTTTAATGAAGCAGAAGCATGACATTGTAAAGAGAGATGTACTTTAACAGCTACAGAACTTATGAACAGGAACATCTGTGCTAAAATTGTAGGGTTCTAGTCAAGGGGAAACTCGGGGTTTGTGGTGAACAACAGATCCAGACTGACAAACAGGTGATGGCTAACCAACTGGACGTTGTGGTGGATGGGAAACTACATAAGAAAATACTCGTGACATATACTATTATCCCAAGTCACAAGTTTAATTTCACTTTCATTTATTTTCATGTAGTTTTGAGACTTTTGCATTTTTGCCTAATGTTTTTTTTTTTCATTTGTTTGATCTGTTCTTGTGTGTTGTACAAAACTAACCGGAAAACCATAACCAATTAATTTAATTAGGTTAAAGTGTTTGATTGATTAATTTCTCTAGCTTACGCATGACAATTCATCTGAAAGTAATTTGTATGTTATATGATAGAAGTAAAATGAATTTGTTGTAAGTTGTCAATGTTTCATCAGTGTTTAAAAATAAATTACATTTCGGACAAGATTGCTAGAGTAAAAATTACACTTTTTTTCTTTCTTTCATTATTTATTTAGTACATAAACAAAGTCAAGATTTTTGGAAGTGCTTCAGATTTTACTTCATGGTTAAGTAGTAGCTTTAGTAGTTGATGTAGTTGTTGGTGTAGTTGTGGTTGTAGTTGGAGTGGTAGTTGTAGTMGTAGGTGYAGTYGTGGTTGTAGTTGGAGTGGTAGTTGTGGTTGTAGCTGTTGTACTAGTAAGTCGTTGAATGAGGAGGTTCCAAAGGATCTGCGTATATGGGTTGAACCTGTTGGGGTACCAGCGGAACTGCAGGAAAATCAGCATTATTGTCAGAACTCTCACAGGATTTTATCAGTCACCGATGTTGATAAATTTATTTCATTATAGAGAAGAGAAAAGAAAACCTCTCACCTCACGAGAGCTAGAGCGATCAACTCGCTGGGCTACCTGCTGGTCCTCCTTCATCTGTTAAAAGTAAACAAGTTGCCATTTCTGAGGTTAAAATACTAGATCACAAACCTTACATTTAAGAGATGGATCAATGCATTTACTTTGACTTTTGTTGCAAGTGTAAAATTTGTGTTTTGTGCCGAAAATGTTAAACAATGATTGGAAGTAGTTGAAAGTTCCAAACTAATTGTGATTTCACCCAGAAGCAATATTTATAGCAGAGTTTATCAACATATTTTTAAAAATAGCAAGTATGATAAATTGGCACTTACAGATTGAGCCACAACGAGGCTCAGGAGGCATCCTAGAAGAAATGCAACCTTCAGCATGGTTTCAATTATCTCACCTGTTGGAACCAAAATAAAGCTTTAGTCCATAAGTGGACAATTTATCAGTAATTCAAATTCAAAAGAGATCCACCATACAGTCATATAATTACCGTCAAGTCTTCTCTGCTTCAGTGAAGATGAAGTGTTTGTTGTAAAGTGAATTGTTGGACGACTCTTTTGTATAGGTCCTGACGCCCAGTTATTTAGCAACTCTGTAGAAAACCTTCCACCTCCACATCTCAGTGACGGAAGTAAGGGAGTAATGACCYGTRGTAATCAGCAGYGGAAACCACAGCAGGACAAGCCAAKACAAATGGATGAAATCGGTCTTAACGAGGAACAACATGTTAATTCAGTTTGGCCAACTGGTAAACAAAAACAACATGTGAACACACCTGGGTTTGTGATTACAAATCCAGTGACTGAGGTTTTGAAACAAACATCTACTGGCGTTTGCAGTTTCTGAYCATTTTCACTTTCTTGTACCAAGCAGTACACTCCAAACAAAATATTGATTTAATTAACATCATGATCTGAGTACATGTAATGGGAAAATTTCTTTGGAAATGACATCTGTTGTAATTACAAGTTGTTCTTTTTAAAACAGTAGTGTAACTTTATACTGAGGTCTAGGCTTTGACTGGACCAAACTCAGAATTTTCTCCAAGCACTAGATCTC